AATAAATGAAAAGATCCAGGCAAGTACTTACCTATGCCTTAGCTCAGTTTGGTGAAGGGGGACGAGTGAAACGCCAAAAGTCCGGTCAGCTTCAGGAGAAGGTGGGCACCGGAAATGTAATTGTGTTCAGGTGGTTGGCCTGGTGGCTCTGGCTCAGGGCAGCTGTGGGACCGGTTTGAAGTTCTTTTGTGCGCACATGACCAGCTTGCGTAGCCTGATTACAGTCGACTCTGCCGCGGTCAACGGGCCCTGCTCAAGTCATGGCCACCAAATGAACCGTCTGCATATAATTACCTTTCCTGATGCCCACTTTCTCCTGGCGGTGACTGGAATTGTGGTGTTTGACTTTGTTACCCAAGCTTGAACTTATGCGTAATTATTTATCTGCATGTATCTTTGACTCATCATTTCAGTAGTCACAGACATTGGTAGAAATTATTGAAAGCAGATGTCTTCTAGTCAAATTACGTTTCAAATATTCCACAGGAAATTTCCGCAAACATAGTTCCCTCTTACTTCGACCACTGTAGCTATCCCACCCTCAGGTAATGTGTCGTATGTTTTGAACTAGGGTAGAGTTAACGTGTGACCTGCAAGGCGTGCGGGTTGGTGACCCTAATGGTTTACGTGGATGGTGTCCTTAAGCATTACGCTAGATATCAAGTAGGTAAGTTCTAGTGCAGACTAGCCCACAACAACCAAACAGCACCGAATAATTCTACATTCTGCTAGCACCAGACACGCTTGAGTTGGGCATCGGGGAAGCACAGGTATGCAAACAATATTATTCGAAGTTGATATAATTTTACAACATAAACTCTAAGAGACCTAACTTAAACTAGGTACCTTGCAAATGATGTGCAAAAAAATATATTATCTTAGTAACTATATTTATTTAAAAATGATTTATAAAGTGTGCACGAGCTGCATATTTACTCACACGAACCTACAAGTTTACAGGGAACATCAACTAGAACACGTTCTAACATCCTCATTCTCTCCATCAAATACCAGCCCTGCTATATTGTCTGTGCACATAATCCACACCTGAGGATTGTCGATAAACTGTGCGCCCGAGGACGCGACTGGAATATGCTTACTAGAACAATTATGACAACTTTGTTAACGGGCAACGATGCACCGACATTTTCCCACAAATGCAAATTTCAGCTGGTGTAATTGAAGTGAATTCAATATAAGTGTCCATAAGCGCACAAGATCAGCATGTTTACCTAGTCATGGTCCTTGTCAGGGGAGCCAAATACGCGAAAGTAATCTGCCTCCCATATTAGTGACTTGCAATTACTACTGCAACTACTACGTAGAGCCTTGGCCAGATTCGACCCAAAATGCGCATCTTCATTCGCTACAGATCAGTTTGATTTTTCTAAACAATAAACTTGGATTGGATTCAGTCCCGCAGTACGTGCTGTGATATTCCCCTAGCCTTTACAATGCTGTGTAACTTTTTAGATAGCTTAATTTTCCTTCAAAATGTGTCATTTCTCCCAATTAACGAGGTATTCCTAAGGACAGGAGTATTTCTTCACTCGCGGTCTACAAATCGATACTCGGCAGAAACAGCCAATCACCGAGGCCGAGCACGCATTTGCATGGAGATTTCAAACTGCGACCTATAAAAGGCGGGGAATAATGCAACATCAAATGAATGCCCGCTGGGTCGGGTCAGAATTACGAAATAAGCTGGATGCATTGGATGAAGCAGAAGATGACCCGGCCCAGCGGCCCCATGCAAGTTGGATGTCGTGCTGCCGTGTGAATGAACTGCAGTCGTCGGCGTGGAGCACTTCTAGTTTGCCGTCTTCGTCAACTCGGTCCGTCACCAGCGCAGGAAGAAAAGCCTACACGCCGGGGAACACGGCCAGAATTCTGCGTCCGGGGATCCGCAAGGGAATCAACCAGGCGTTGATCTGCAGCAATCTGCCATGCACGGCGCCGACCTGTCTCAATGACCAAAATTTGAACCACTTCACCTTGACCTACGCAGAGATGTCTTCCGTTTGGAGTTGAATGCAGAAGTGGCGCCATCTCGTTCTTCGACAAGCGGATTGCACAGACTCTTTCGTATGGTGAACGAAGTCCAAATGAGGCATTGAGGCAGGAGTGCTGGCAGATTGCTAGACTCGTCTCGGTCAGATTTCGGAAGGACTGGTCCCCGGACCGTGGTGACCCAGAAGCGGGCATCGGGTGGTGGTGGGTTATGAAGGTGGCGGACCGGAAAGAAGAGAGCAAGGCTGTTGGCCTCACGCCGGCGCTGCAGGGATTTCCGTGGCAGCACGGCGTGGAATAAAGGCGAAGAATCAAGATAGTTATGTTAAGGCCCCTCCTCCCCCCGATGATTAAATCAATAAAGTTGTTGTTGCTGTTTCTGATATCTCAGTCTTCTTCATTTGACAGATTGCATTAGTCAGGGATTAATGCTTTCAATGGCAATGTTTTGAGGGTGAATAATTTTCTTGAGTTTGATTGGCAGATTTTCAATGAGGGCCTTCAGGCGATAAGCGTCACCTTAATGACCAGACAAGTCGGTATCATACGCGGATTTGACACGACAAGCGATTACTTTTAGCAGTCTTGGAGCACCTCCTGTGACAACATATTTGTGTGTAAGATTTAGCCTGGTTCTTTAGTGCAACTTGTTGCGAGATGGAGTCTAGTTGCGACTGACGGTATGGACTCTCAATGTATCAAGTAATGGGAAATGTTCAGTGAGATTAGCTGCCTGTTCAGGTCTACAAATTGTTCTTAAGCATATAGCTGAGACGCGAAAGGGAAGTTATTTGTGTTTTTTCGTGACTGCGTGCTCAAATGGCCATATTAAACATCAATCTTCTTCAACAACGGGCGCTTTATGGCAATTCGGTGAACGGCTCAGACTCACCTCTCATTCCGTGATCGCGGCGAGATCTATTTTGGAAAATGTTGCGCCGTTGTTTACAGTTGCACGCATAGGCGGCAATAAGTATTTTATCTGGACTATACCCCTTGGACATTTCTAAACGCTGTGCAGTCACTGCTGGTTGTAGATTTCTTGACCGCTCGACCGTCATCGCATATTACAATGAAGTGATAAGCAAACATGGCGTATCAAACACACAGGCGAATTCGTGCGACATATTGAACGGGCTGAGTTCGAGCAAATGTCACGTTCAGTCGCCGCTCAAGAGAAAAGGTGTTTTAAAGTCAACTATATAACTATACAGAACTATGCTAGACTGAGCCCCTCAGCCCCCATCTGCATCCGTTAATTTTCATTCTAGTGTTGACATCTGCCTCTTCACTTCAGTGCAGACCGTTATCAGTTGATGGATTGCCAAATTTCGTTAAGATGCTGCAAACAGCCAACTGAATTCATTGGACATTCTTAGATTATTAACGGCACGATTGCCGGTATATAACGTAGCTACGTGGCATGAATCATGTCAGTTTTATTATAATGTTGCGGAATTATTACTCACGGCCAATGTGCGAAAGAGTGTCACCGGGATGGTTGGAAGTATGACTTTAGATTAGTCTACATGGAGGTCATAGCTTTATTCAGTATGTGCTTTTTACTTCAGTATGCATTTCACGTGTTCTCAGCGGAATCGTGTAAGTTTTAATAACGATTGTTTACGAATCAACTACAAATTTGTAGTTGATTCATAAACAATCTTTATTTAAACCTACACGATTCCGCTGAGAACACGTGAAATGCATGCTTTAAATTCACACTTTGTCAATCCTGAACTTAAGTTCAGGAATGACAAATTGTGAATTTAAAGTTGAGAAACCGAATCGTTACACAGTTCTCATTTGCTTCCTTAGTACTCTTTACTTATGCATTAAGTGATAAGCAGAGAGACCTGAAACGCATTCGCCTCTAATTTTGCGGAACTTTAAGACATTTGCAAATATATATTTGCATTCAATCGCTCCAGATTAGAGTGAATTTTTTATTGCAGCTTATACCGTCAGTTTACTATGTGCGATCCCGCCTTTTTATCGTCATTGTGGTGGAGTTTGCTACTAATTTACTGATCGGCGAATGCCGATCTGCATTCGAATAAGGTTCATTTATAATCTCGTTCCATTTCTGTCATGCCGCAAAAGGCATTTGCTTACAGCTTGACCATAAAATCAAGCTCATAAAATGCCTGGAAAATGTTTATAACTCATGTTTGCACAATTTTTTAAATTTCTGTTCGTCTCGAGCGGTAACCTAGATAACGGTTGATCTGCCGCCTTTTCTGCTCGCGCGTAGAAAGCGCAGCTAAATAATGGAAGAGTTATGCGAATCCTCTAGTGAGGGGTTCGGAATTTATTACATATTGAATTCTGAATTGTTACTTTTTTGAAGGTATCCAACAGATGTTAGGGTCGCCAATCATCTGGGTATGATTAAAATGAGAAGGGGAGTGGATAGTATCCAGTTTTTTATTTTGTTGAGTAATGTAGTTGGATTTTAGTGATTTGCCACCTGTCCGAGTAGGTTGAAATGATATATTTCAAAGTATCATTGTTATTTTTAGTGAGAAGTCTTGGAGCATTGTTAATATTTGTTCGGCCGGACTGGTTCATTGAGAATTGAAGGGACACAGAGGCGATCGCCTAGAGCGTAATGGTAAGTACTGGTACCGCGAAGTCAAACAGCTCTGTCCACAATCGTATTAGTAGGAAGAAAGAGAGAGGCCTTAATTATGGACAAAAATAAAAGCGAAACCTACAATTGTCGAATGCTTAATCGCAGGGGCAAATTTGTCATTCCTACTGAGGGCGGTCCGAAGGGTTAAGCAATAATTATCTCGGCTGTCGGGGCGAAATAATCAGTTCATTTCAGTTCAGTTTATTGAGGAAAAAAGGCGTAAGCCTTTGAGTACCCTATTTGCAACGTAAAAAATTTGTGATGTACAGATAGATGTTCTGGGCTGCAATAGTTCGAACACGCCCATAATGGTGGGACAAAATGAGAAGGAGTTACAGGGGGTGAGCTCGACTTATCATCGCTCTTGGTCATTTCGGAACATAAATATGTCCAGATTCTTCCTAAAACTTTGTATAGATGGTGACATCACAACATCTGCGGGAAGCTCATTCCACGTTTTGACCACCCGAACCGAGAAGGAGAACTTCCGCACATCCAGCCGTGCCTGCTGAGTGCGCAGTTTTAACGGGTGAGCTCGGAGGTTGATCGTGGTAGCAAATTCAAAAAAGTCCTCGAAGGCCAGACTGCAATCCAACCCCTTTACAATGCGGAAGGCTTGCAAGAGATCTCCGCGAAGTTGCCTGTAACTCAAAGGAAAGAGGTTCAGATTTACTAGGCGGGTCGCATAAGGAAAGGAGCTTTGACCCCTGACCATCTTCGTGGCTCTCCTCTGGACTCTTTCGAGGCAGTTTTGATCCACAACAGCCCACGGCCTCCAAGCTTGTATGCCGTACTCTAAATGCGGCCGGACGAATGTTCCGAATGTCTTAGAGAAAGCTTCTTCGTCAAAGTCCATAAACGCACGCTTGATGGCGTACTGTACGGACATTGCGCTTTTTGCCACCCTCGAACAGTGGGCGGATGGTTTTAGGGAACTCGTCGTAAGCACACCGAGGTCCTTTTGGGCTTCGACCTCTTGTAGGGCTGCACCGCCCAGAAAGTAGCCTCTTGTGCTGGCGGATCTGGCTGTATTGCCTAGGCGAAGTATGCTACATTTGGCAACGTTGAACCGCAGGAGCCAACGGTTTGACCACTCCTCCAACCGATTCAGGTTCATTTGCAGTCTGTCTTCATCGGCAGGACCATGAATTACACTCCATATCTTCATGTCGTCCGCAAACATTGCTACTTCACAGTCCAAATCTCTTGCGGCATCGTCCACGTAGATAAGGAACAAAATGGGTCCCAGTACGGAACCCTGAGGGACACCACTTTCGACCATAGCCGAATCTAATTTTCCCCGACCGACGCACACAACCTGGTGTCGACCCACAAGGAAGTTTTCGATCCCTTTATGGAAGTTGCCACCGATCCCTATTTTTTTCAGCTTATGTAAGAGCCTTTGGTGTGGCACAGTGTCGAAAGCCTTCTGGAAGTCGATGAAGGCTATGTGGACCGCGTGCCTGTCGTCGAGAGCTTGGGTCCAGCTCTGGAGAGATTGCAGCAGGTTTGTCGTGCAGGATCTTCCTTTTCGGAACCCATGTTGGCATTTCGATAGCAGGCCGTGAACTTCCAGGAATTGCATCAGTTCACACTTTATGATCCTTTCCATAACTTTGCAGAGAATGCATGTCAAGCTTATGGGTCGGTAATTTGTCGTCGCTGCCCTGTTACCTCCTTTGTGTAGCGGAGTAATATGCGCCAGCTTCCAATCGACAGGAAGTGTTCCAGTGTCAAATGACGTTTGAAAGAGCATCGACAAAGGCACAGAGAGCTCACGGGCAAGGTTCTTCAGAAGCTTGGATGGAATCTCGTCTGGTCCTGGCGACTTCGATTCGTTCAATGCCTCTAATTCTCTTCGGACAATGCCTTCTGAGAAGAGTATATCACTGACGCTTGGAGTCGGCAGTTCTTCTGTGGAGGGAGGAAGGAACCTTGCCTCGTTTGTGTAGACTGATTGGAAAAACCGTGAAAAATACGCAGCTTTATCCCTACTATCAGCGATCTCAACGCCATCAGTAGTCCTTATCAAGGGGATTTGATGCCTGTTCCTTGTAGTTCGTCGGAGGTAGCTGTAGAGCAATTTTGGGTTCTGCGTTGCTTTTTGTAGCAAGTTCTTCTCGAATTCCCGCCGCGTATGAATTATCAGCTTCCTCAGTTTGTTCCTCTGTGTCTTGTATGTGTTGAAGCATTCAGCTTGTCTAGTGACGCAGTATTTTCTCCACAATTTGTGCTTCCTGTTGTTTTCTTTTTTGAGGTTGCTATTTAGCCACACAGGGCGTTTGTTCAGTCTTACACTAGTCAGTGGGCAGTGGTTGTTGATGAGCTGCAGAAGGACATTCTTGAACAGCTCCCAGTCATCGTTGGCACTTCCCGTAAACAATGAGCCCCAGTCAAGACCGGATAAGTCTGCCCTCATCTGATTGAAATCGCCCCGCCAAACATTACGCCTTTTGTGGCCTGGAGTGTGTGAAATGGAGAATAACGAATAATCCCACATAAGCACTACGTGGTCACTTCGGCCAAGGGGCGGCATAGAGGCGATCTCGTCTATGCTGTCTGGTGTTTTCGTAAAGACCAGATCCAGGCAGTTTGTCATTTGTCCTTCACGTGTTCTCGTTGGGAACATTACATGTTGTGTGAGGCATGCATTTAATGTCTTGCTCAACAGGCGGTAATCGAATGCCGATTTTGGACCTGACGCTTGGAGGGTATTCCAGTTTGTTCCTGGTGCGTTGAAGTCGCCCATGATCATGATGTTAGGTCGACTGGAAAATTTCTCCAACTGCTCCAATAGTTGAGTGTCGGCGATTCGGTCTGTCCGAGGTGGTCGGTAGACAGTGAGGACATCGAGACACGGGGAACCGGTAGCCTTGATGGTCAACCAGATAGCTTCCGTACTTCACACAAACTTGGTGGTGTTATCCGACACTGCCAGACCGTCATTCACATACACAACGATACCACCACCCTGACGATGTTCCCTGTCCCTCCGATAAATTTGGTATCCAGGCAAGGCTACTTCGTTATCGCTAATATTCCCGGACAGCCAGGTCTCAGTTACTGCTAAAACATCTGGAGACAGCTCAACAAGGCAAAGTTTTAGTTCGTCTAGTTTCGATAGGAGGCTTTGGGCATTCGTGTACAAGCACCTCAGTTTAGCACCAGCCGAATTTCCCGTTGCATTTGTTACTGCTGTGAGCATTACTCCGTTATCGCGGACGTCGTGTTCTCTAGGCTCTTCCGTTACCTGATTGGTTCCATTTACATGCCTTGTTTCAGTCAGATCACTGGACGCTACGGGCTCACTTGTGTTGGCGCCTTGATCAGGTGGTTCAACGAAGGTGTCTGTTTTAGCTGAGTAGCTGTCGTCGTTCGTAGTATTACAGGCTGGTTCCACTGAAACGGCATATATTTCCGAACTACCTTCCCCTTGAAGATAGCCAGATTGTGTTCGCCATTCTTAAGTCTTGATTTTAACTCCAAGACTAGCCTCTTTAAAACTTTCCCACGGAGCAAGGATTGTTCAAATGCGGCTCCCAAATTTATAAGGGAGCTTGATCTTAGCAGTAAAGATGAGCTAGTCCTTGAAGCACAACCGGCTCCCAGCACTCAGAATAGTGATTTGGTTAATAAACTGACATCGAATCCACCCCGTTCCCACGCCTGGCCACTCAGGTCTGACCTTGCAGTTAGGTCTAATAAGCTAGATGAGAGTTCAGGGAGGTCTTTACCTGTTCCTATCCTGAATTCTCAACTTACCGCCACAGTTGTGAAGCCCTCTTACACATCAGACTGCAAAATGCAAGTATATTGCATTGCTGATAAATTTTCCAATCCCGTTGCTAGCCTGACACCCCAAATAATTAAGCCCTTTCCTGATGTTAACTGTTTCCCGAAACCATTACGTCCGCCACCTAACATAAACTACCCCTCGTATTATGCTAACAATTCCCAAAATCCTATTTTCTTGTCTCCTATTTTTCCAACCCAACAAAATAGTTTTCCTCTTCCTGGGTCCTGCTCAAATGTTTTTCCACCTAATGCTGCATCTCTAACTAGTAATTACCCCATAAATTTTAGACCGCAGCAACTTTGTCCTCCACTAATTGCTCCGTTCCCTCAGCTTAATTTTCCACCTCCGGCTCTTCCTTTTTTATAAGTAGCAATGAGCGGAACCTACATATTAGGAATACGCTCAGTATTGTCTCTCTTAACGCAAGATCTGTCGTACAAAAGATGGCACACCTAAGAAGTGTAGCTGTTGAGTTTGACACAGACGTATTGTGCATTACTGAATCTTGGGCCCACTCTCTAATTTCAGATTCGGTACTTAACATAGATAGCCTTAGTTTATACCGCCAGGACCGTGCCGACAGACGCGGCGGTAGATGCCTTCTTTACATAAGATCCTCACTTGCACAGTCGCCTTTTAACTTGAACATTTCCTCCTTCTCTGGAAATTTATGTTTTGCTTCGGTAATCCTTCCTCAAAATAGGAAAGCCTTTGTCGGATGTGTATATAATCCTCCTTGTTCCTCCGGTAATGAAAGCCAACTTTGCGAACTCTTTGAAAAAATTGCAGAAACTTCTTTCGATGTCAAGATAATCGTAGGCGATTTTAATTTGCCAGAAATTGACTGGCACACACATACTTCTCCTCCTAAATTCCAGAAACTGCTTGACGCAATTTACTTTTCAAACCTGACTCAATTAGTTCACTCTTCGACCAGAAACGATAGTGTTTTAGACTTAATTTTTAATAATGGCACCTTCCCTTTATCTATGGATTTTTATCATGACCTCTTTGCAAGTGATCATGCATTAATTCATTGTCGCCTTCCAGTTGCCATTTCCGCAAAGCCAACAGTTCAACGTAGTATTTTTGACTTTGCTAATGTTAATAAGGATTTAGTAAATAACTTTACCTGCACTCTTGATTGGCACAAAATTTTTTCAAATAATGATCTAAATTTTTTCAACAATTTATTACAATGCGTAACAGAAGGTCTTCTTGACCTTATTCCTCGGAAGATGTTCAAACCGAGTGCTAATTCCACCGCTATCCCACACTTTCTTAAAAACAGACTTAAAAAGTTACGGAAGCAGTTTAAAGATCCTTCTGTGAGTTTATTATCAGTTCATCTAAGAATCGTTGAAATATTTGAACTAGCTTCGAAAATAAGGCTCGAGCGAGATAGGCCTAGAGAGTCTTTGGCTATTAATGATGTGAATTCTTCTAAAACAGTTGCTCAGATCTTCCGTCAGAGATCATCTGCTAAGTCCCACCAAGTCATTCCGCCCTTGCTTAGTGCAAGTGATGCCTTCATTACAGAAGTGTCAGGCAAAGCAGAAATTTTAAATTCGTTCTTTGCCAAGCATTTCACCATTGAAACTGATCCGATCCCTTTAATTCCTTCGTTGTCTGATGCTTCTCTTAGCTTCATTAATTTTTCTCCTGAATGTATTCAAAAACTGATAAGTCATCTTCCTAACTCTCACTCAGTAGGTACGGACAATATCCCAAACTCTTTGATAAAACAACTAAGAGATTTTCCTCATCTGCTTAGCAAAATCTTTTCAGTATTTCTCGTAAATGGCTTCTTCCCTGACTATTGGAAAACTTCTATTATTATTCCAGTATTTAAGTCTGGCTGTCGTTCTGACGTACAGAACTATCGAGGTGTCCATAAAACACCCTCTCTCGCCAAAATCTTTGAAAAAATTATCGCCATAAAAATTACCGAATTTTGCATAGCCAATCAAGTTATTAGCCCTTACCAACATGGTTTTTTACCAGATCGCTCTTGTGAAACATGTCATCTGTCGTTTCTCGATCTACTTACCTCTCTTCGTAATTATCACCTATCTGTTGTCGTAATTTATTTTGATCTTAGTAAAGCCTTTGATAAAGTGCCACATAAAAGACTCTTGGTTAAATTGGAAGCTATGGGAATTCGCAGTCCACTAATAGACATTCTCAGGTCATACCTGTCTAATCGTAAACAAAAGGTTTTGGTGGGATCTTCACTTTCCAGTGAAAGTCCTATTGTGAGCGGTGTACTACAAGGTACCGTTTTAGGTCCTCTTTAGTTCTTACTTTACATAAATGATATTTCAGCCGCAGTTAAACATTCTCAATCATTTATTTATGCCGATGATCTCAAATGTGTATATTCTTTTAAAAAATCTACGAGCCTTCATTGCCTGGAGCAAATCCATGCTGACTTGCTTGCTCTCTCAGCTTGGAGCTCAAAATGGCTAATGGAATTCTCTCCGTCT